CTCACACAATATCAACAGGATTCTCCAAAAAATAAAAATAAAAAATACCAACACTTCGAGAAGGTTGGGAAATGGGTGCCACTTACGCCGGTTCACGGCAACAACGTCTTCACATTCGCCCCCAACCTCCCAACCTCAAAATCGCAGACACACACACACACACACACACACACACACACACACACACACACACACACACACACACATACACACACACACACGCACACACAATGTCAACAGGATTCTGCCAAACAAACAAAAAAAAATTTTACCCTCACTTCGACAAGGTTGGGAAGTGGGTGCCACTTACACCGGTTAACGGCAACAACGTCTTCACATTCAGCCCCCACCTCCCAACCTCAACGTCACAGACAGACACAGACTCGACCAGACAGACACAGACTCACCCAGACTCACACAGACTCATCCAGACTCACACGTCACCCAGAATCACCCAGACTGACACAGACTCACACAGACTCACACAGACTCCTCCAGGCTCACACACACTCACACAGACTCACACAGTCTGACCCTGATTCGCACACACTCACACAGAGTGACGCAGACTCAAACACATCAAACAGAGTCGAACAGACTGGCGCCCAATTCATCGGAGAATAAAAAAGAGTGACACGGACTGAATGAAGCTCAAACGGACTCACCCAGACTGATACAGATTCAAAGACACTCACACAGACGCACCTACACTCACACAGAGTCACACACACTTGCTCACACCCACACACAGTCAAACACACTCATCACAGAGTGAACAGGGCCAAGACATGACACTTTAGATGACGTATCCCTAAAGTATGGCCAACCTTTCAACACGGTTGGGTAGTGGGCGCCGTTTACCGAACAATGGCGAGACCGTCCTTGTTGAAATGGACTGCACTTGGCAACCACACGATTGGTTAGTGGGGGCCATTTAGCAAACGACTCAGTAGTACCATGTTTCTCTTGCGTCTACGCGTCTGTGCACATGTGATCATGACTTATAATGCATCATGATATTTTTCAGTCACTGTATGTGGAAGTGTTAACTTGCATGAAAACTCACCGGTTCTTCTGTCGAGAAACAAGTGTGACCATCCATACGTCACAGTTGTCCACATGACCATTGAGACACGCACAACGAGACAAACATAAGAAAGGAAAACAGAATGTCATTACCTCACAGCATCCTCACACACCGACCCACCCTCTTAATATGAATTGCAGCAATGAAAGGAAAAACGACAGAGATACACAAAAGAAGCAGCAGACAAGGGTCTGCAAATTTCCGTCTTAGTTCGTGGTCAACCAAAGACATGATTAGAGAAAATGAATGTACAGATGTTATTGTTAATGACGACATTACAATAATCGAGGACCTATGACCTGAACACATGATCGCACGCACACACACACACACACACACACACACACACACACACACACACACACACACACATCTGTGCAAACACACAGACCCATTCTCGTCCAACCAGACTCATTTCTTTTTTTTCTGAGGCGCCCTGCTTTTCACCGACTTTCCTTTTCTCTTTGACGCCCCCCTTGCCTCCCCTCTCCCCTGCTGTTCAGCGGACCCGGGCGCTGCTTGTTGTGTGTTCGTCTCATCAGCGTTCGCCCTCCTCCTTTCCTGTCGTTGTCTGTTCAACTCTTTCTCGTCGAGGATGCCTTTGGTGAAAACTTGCCAACGTGGATTTTGCAATGCGCCAACGAGCCTCATGTCCTGGGGCATGATCGTGACCCGCTTCGAATGGATTGCAACCTCGTTCGTGCTCTCCATAAGATGCACGACATAGAGCTGCCTCCAGAAGTGCTCGAATGGCAAGCATCCCGAACCGCACAGGCTCTGTTGCGACCTCTTTTTTCTTTACAATGTCGCGCACAAGCCTCACAAACGGTCTGTAAGGGATGCAAAGTTTTGTGCTGCGTTGCAGTCGGCGCATCTCTGCCACAGCAGCCTCTCCGGGCCGGCGATTGCGCCTCGGCGGCCCTTGACTCCCTCCAATTCTCCGGCCTGTGTCACCATCCATTGCTGCCCCCCCTGGCCCCTCCCCCTTCCTCTTCCCCTCCCACCATTAAGTGGTGCCGCACCCCCCCGTCCCTTACCTCGACTGCCTCTCCCTCGTACCGTCGTTGTCCCCTCGTTGTCGCGTTTGGTGAGTAGAATGTATTTAAACGTTCAAACGGATTACTGGGGCAAAATTCCTTGGACTTGTTGCCTTCTGCTTCGTTCCTTGGCCCGTCCGCCTGCTGCCATCGGTGCACACTGTGCCGGTCACCGGCACGCTCATCCCCACAACAACACGTCCTGCACCCGAGTCTGCAACCGGACCGTCAACGTCGCATCCCCCGGGGCCGTCGTGTGGGGGTCCGTTCACCTCGCCTGCCGGTTGTCTCGTCTCTTCGGACTCAAGTTCTCCAATCCCCGCATTCTCATTGTTCCCTTTCATGTCTTCCCCTGCCATGTACTCTATGTGCCGTAACAAACCATCAGAGTACGTCACCAGAAACGGAACACCCAAAGGGTCTCTGAACTCCATGGACAGGTCTGCCCTGCAGACATAATGCATGGGACAGACAACGGGTACCCATCCAAGAAGTGTTGACCGCCCGCTGAGACAGTTATCAGGAAAATCTGCAAAGATGTATGCGCTCGCGCCAACAGCCTGCAGTCCCCACATGTTCTCGTCCTCACGACCGTCTTATGCACACAACACCATTTGACAGTCCTCAACCTTCAGATTATCCCAACACATCTTAGCATGTTCACGCAATAACCCTCTATCATTCACCCTCGCATTGCATATCGAAACACGAGTCAAGACAACCATGAATTGTCAATGCTCAACAACACCTGAAGGGATCCAACCCATAGGTACCCACTCGCCTCCTCGAAGTCTGGCAGCCATCGTAACTTTGTTTTCAAAAATGGCAGGATGAAGGACACCAGGTACCCAATTCACATGATACCCGTACATCTCCGCAGATGAATGTGTGCTCAACTCCGTTTGTGGAAAAACAGTGGCAGATATGTCAATATCTGGCAGCCTCTCCGTCGTTGTCCTCTCGGGGTCCCATATACTAACGAAGAGACCATCATAAGTGACCTCCCTTCCTCTGATGTGCCGCAGACAAATGTTGTCTTCCCCAGAAAACACTTTCCCCTCTACAATTGGCGAAAACACGGGGTTCTCCAGTGGGATCAGACGTCTCCCTGTCGCAGCATCAACGGACTCCGCCATCTCATACTCCAAACAACGAGACAAGAAATCCCCATTTACATAAACTGTGCCCCAACAGTTCCCCATGAGATCGCGCACAAGCATCCTTATCTCCCCATATTCACAAGGAATGCTTGATGGCACCCAAACCCACTGCGCATCCCGCCTTGCATCATTCTCCTTACACACTCCCTCCCCAACCCAGTTGCTGTCAGAAATCACCCATTGTTGGGAGCACTCCTCATGATCGTAAAAGAAGTCATTGAGCCGTAAGCCCCCCCTTTCTGCCAACGCCTCCCAAAGGACATGCGTGCTTTTGATCAGATCTAGAAGCGCAACGCCGTCATTCAGCCTTGTCAGTCGGTCGAAAATAATGGCAGCCATTATGTACCGCCATGTTGCCAAATTTGGCGGAGAATAAGGAACCCATGTATCACCGGTCTTGAAGGCAAAGCAGTGTTGAGCCCCAATCAAGCCTGGCTGCACCTTGCCGGGCTCCCAGTTGATATCGTACAGGAAATGCGTTCCTGCTTCAGTCTTGGTGATTGTGTCACTCGGAACTGTGCACATCGGAGTGTCTCCGTCGCCTGTCCCTTCGCCGTTATCCGCGTCCTTGGTGCCAGCAACGCTAATGACACCCAAGAGGCCCTCTGATTCCATTTGCAACGTCGATTCCAGGTTTGTATCGTTACCTGCCACCCCTCTCCCAGGACTGCGAACGCAGTGCTTGTGAGAGTCGTCTCTTACTATGACGTTCGAGATATGTTGATGCAGGTCTTCGCTCGTGCATGCAATAGTCTCGCCCACCATGTTCGTGGAGACATTTGGCTTCTCCATCTATAAGACGAGACATGACAGACATGTTGCATAACATGTGACGGCCGACACGTTAATCGAGAGAGAGAGAGAGAGAGAGAGAGAGAGAGAGAGAGAGAGAGAGAGAGAGAGAGAGAGAGAGAATCAAAGACGTATGTGTCGGTGTGAGGGTTTGGCGATGCGATATGAACAATATGCACACAGGGAACCCCTGACATCAACACGGTTGAGAAGTGGGTGAAAGGTATGCCCGGATGCAATGACAAAGTGTTACTAGACGGCCCCCACATGCACACACACACACACACACACACACACACACACACACACACACACACACACACACACACACACACAC